TGATGCAAAAGGAAGGACCTGGACACAGAATCTCTGAGGCCTGCTTCAACCCCTTAGCTGAGGAGCATTCAAATTTTAGGGTGAAAAACTTAAGGAGGCTGCAAAAAATTCAGTATCAAGGTATCAAGGTAGTTTTTTTTTCCTCACTGTTAAAATTAAGATTTAATTCGCATACCATATAATTCACCCTTTTAGATTGTTCAGTGGGGGTTTTGGACAGTCACAAAGGTTATGCAACTTCTCCAGAATACGATTATATATATTATTGAGAGTGCAGGGAGAAAAGAGAGGGAAGAATGGGAAGGAGAGAGAGAGAGAGAGAGAGAGAGAGAGAGAGAGAGAGAGGGGGGGGGGGAGATGTGAGAGGCGCATCCATTGGTTGCCTCTCCAATGTGCTCCAACGGGGGCTGGGGACTGAACCTGCAACCTAGGTACATGCCCTTGACCCGAAATCAAACCTGAGACCCTTCGGTGCTCAGGCCACTTAGCCACACCGGCCAGGGCCAGAATATTAAAATTTTAAAATATCAAGTCCTAATGGTGTGGCTCCATTGGTTGGGTATCATCTTATGCACCAAAAAGTTGCTGGTTCTATTCCCGGTCAGGGCATATGCCCGGTTTGTGGGCTCAATCCCAGGTGGGAGGCATGCAGGAGGCAGCGGATCATGTTCCACTCTCACTTTAATGTTTCTCTCTCTCCCTTCCTCTCTCTCTAAAAATCAATTTAAAATATTTTTTAAAAATTATAATCCAGGATGGATCACTAACAGCACCACACCAAGCCATATTAGAGCTGAGACCAAAAGGAAAAATCAGTATGATTGATCCTGTCTCGATTTAACATTTTGAGAATGTCTCCAGCATGAAAATTTTATTTTGCATGTGTTTTTTCTTAGTTGCACTAAAGTATGATTTTTTAAAAATTATGACTGAGTTTTTGCCTCACACTAGTACCAGCCCTGCTTCTTGGGACCCTGTTTTTAAACCCCAACCCCCAAAAGCAAACTCGGGGGGAGGGGTGTTCCCAGTGGACAGAGGGGAAATCAAGTCTCCAGAAGGTTGGGGAGTTGATCTGCCCAGAAGGGTGGATCCTGGGATCCCTCCCAGCGGGGCAGGTGGAATTGGGGAGGATTATGGGTCAGGAGTGCAGAGCTAAGGCCCTTTTCATTGGAGGAGGTGACGTGGACCTAATGTGTGTGTGTCTCCTCCAAATTCATGTACTGAAGCCCTATCCCCACTGGGATAGTAGGAGGTGGGGCATCTGGGAGGTGATTAGGGTTGGATGAGGTCATGAGGGTGGGTACCTGTGATGGAGTTGGTGTCCTTATAAGGAGAGGAAGAGCGATCAGAGTCTCTCTCCACCATGTAAGGACGAAGGGAGAAGGTGGCCGTCTACAGACCAGGAAGTAACCCTCACCAGGAAATGACCCCGCTGGCGGCTGGATTGTAGACTTCCAGGCTCCGGAACTTTGAGAAATAAATGTCTGTTGTTTAAGCTGCCCAATCTCTGGCATTTTGTTACAGCCGCCTGAGCAGGCTAAGATAGGAGAGGTGTGAGGGTTGGGGTAGGTAGCATGGGGTAGATAGAGCCCCCCAAAACAGCACATGGGAGGGATGGGGTGACCAGGGATACTTCTGACTGCCTGGGTTTGCATTTCAACTTCCAACTTCTCTCCTGACCAGCAGTGTGAGCTTGAGCATGTCTTTTCCCCACCCTTACCCCCACGCCTCAGTTTCCCCTCTGCACGTGGAGATCACAGCATCCTCTAAGCCTAGAGGATGACACGTAATGAGTCCATTCTGCTCCATACTTAGAAGACACTGGGCCATGCATAGGAACCGCCCACTAAATGGGGGCCCTTGGCTAACTTCAGACATGAATTGAAGGTCTGCTGGGGAGGGATTCAGCCCGAGGGCCGGTCCACAGCTACTGCGGTGATGGGGTGGGCTTCTCTAAGGGGGTGGCCTTTGAGCTGAGACCTGAGTGACACGAAGAAGGCTTGGGGGGCTGTCAAGGACAGTCTCCAGGC